TTTTTTTTTAAATTAAGAGGAATGTATGCTTCCTGTGTCTTACATCCTAGTTCTTGTTAGGTGCAAGATCAAAACGTGTTAAGATAGTAGCTAGCACGAACCCAGGGTTCTCTGCATGGGAAGTCCTGAATCTTCAGGGTGTGCTGCTGGAACAACTCGTGGAGCAGGGGTGGCTATTCCTCAGAGAGTGTCTAGCTCTTGCTCTCTCATCTACACCAAGACAGCTGGTTGTCGTCAGTGACCTCCAGCTTCTAATTTTAAAAGCTCAATTTTGTTAAGCTGTTCTTCAAATCTTGCTTATCTTTTTTTTATTGAGGAGAAAATGTTTCTCAGGTTGCTAAGGTGGAATGAAATCCACTTACCTACATGTTAAATAATTTAGTAAGCTGGCACCATTCATCGCCAAACGCCGAGCCCCCAGAATTCAAGAGCAGTACCGTAGGATTGGAGGCGGGTCCCCCATCAAGATGTGGACTTCCAAGCAGGGGGAAGCCATGGTGAAGCTGCTGGATGAGTTGTCCCCCGCCACAGGTATGCTGTTTCTTCGTTAACATATCACACTAGGTGTGTTCTTTGAAAGTAGTCATGAAATTCAAAACGGTATCGGATGCCAAATGCTTTCTTGTACCGGCAACTCTTGATTTGCGGGGATTTCTACATAATACATGATCACTTTGCTCAGCTCTTGAGGCATTATCCTTTGATTGTATAGCCTTTTCCATTACTTCTTCTTCTTCTTCTTCTTTTTTTTTTTTTACTTTAAAAAATATTTCAATAAATCCAGGGGGTACAGTGGTGTTTGTTACACGGATGCATTGTGTTATGATGAAGTCTAGGCTTTTAGTGTACCCATCACCAGAAGAGTGTCCATTGTACTTTATAGGTGATTTTTCATCCCTCATCCCCCTCCCATACTCCCCCCTCCCGAGTCTCCAAAGTCTTTTATACCCATTACTTCTTATGTTACAAATGAAAAAGCTAAGGATTTGGAGCATTAGTTTCAAAAGGAAGTTCAAGATGTTTGTTCAATTGAGCTAGATTATAAGACACAAGTGACATACCATAAATAAAAGATGCATGTATCATTGTGCTGGAAAGAAATCTTTGGGAAATGGATTGAGGCTGCTGCTATTGCCTTTTCTTTCTGACTGGATAGCTAATTAGATCAGCATTTAGAGCAGAATTAGCTAGTTATCACTGAAGCTGCAAGACACTAAGCAACTTTCAGCAATTGCATTCAGCTTTTGGCAACACCACTATTGTAAGGTCCTGAAGTGCTTGCTGCGTTGGATATAGCACTAAAAAGAGGATTGTACACATCTGGTAATTTCCCTCTGAAAACCTCTAGTAGAATAATAATATGTAGAATGAAAGCCTAAATGCACGAATGACCTACCAGCGCCATATTGAACACATTCAAGATACAATTGATTGCAGGACACACCATTGTTTTTGTAGTACTAAGTACTAAATACTAGACTGCCCTCTCATGCCTGTTTGCTAGAGAACAAACTCTCTAGGCATTACTAGTTTATTGTGGTTTAACATGAATCAGAGTGGCAATTGCTGTGCTGTCTTTAGTAGAAAGAGAAGGCAGAAAGGTGCCCTTTTTATTTTCCTGTTTACGTGTTGCTATAGTGCCCATCATTACAAGGAGCCCTAGGGAGCCAGGTGTGGTGACGCATGCCTGCAGTCCCAGCTACTCCAGAGGCTGAGGTGGGAGGATCGCTGGAGCCCAGGAGTTCGTGGATGCAATGCACTGTGATTGTGCCTGTGAATAAACAGCCACTGTACTCCAGCCAGGGCAACACAGCAACACTCTGTTTCTAAAATAAAGTAAGAGGCCTAGTAGAGTTGTCAGACTTGAAAAAGGAATAGAGACAGAAGAGTGTGCTCCCCACCTTCTCCCGTCTCAGTGGTGAGACTTTTGGGTTGTGCAGGCCAGCCGTGGCCTCAGCCTCCCAGTTTGGCCTGGAAAGAGTCCTTGGAATGATCTGGGTTTTACCCAATGTCCTACTTACTATCGAATGTCTTATCATTTTAATATGTGGCCATTTAGCGCAAAGAGAGGAAGTCACAAGCAGGTAGCTTCTAGGATTAATTATTCTCTGCTTTGGTAGGGACGAAAGAATAATAATATTCACTCTATATTTACATAGTCAAAATTATTGTAAAAGTGATTTAAAAAAATAATTCAGTGCTTAAGCATTCTATCCTATAGAGACTTATTTTGAACAGTCCATTATTCTTTATTATAACTTTGGGGATAAGTTTCATGTGTCCACGGAGCACGGATCAGCTCAGTGGCTTGCCTGTCCAGTCACTAAATCATCCCTAATGCAGCAGGAAATGGTCTTTCCTCCTTTGCTCGTTCCGCTCACTTGCTTGCTTACTCACCTACGCGCTCTTTCATCCCTTAATTCCCACATCCATCCATTCTTCATTTATCCGGCCACCGCCAGGCATCTGTAAGCACTGAGCACGAGTCTGGGAGAGTAGTGAGTGAGCCACGCCCTTACCTTCCTGGAACTGTGTTTGCTGGTACTTTTCACTGAGGCAGGCACTCACTGCTCTTGGGGGCTACTTTTGGCTTCCCTGAATCTTGGAAGCTTGTCCAGGGTCTGCGTCCTGGGTGGGCGTTGGTACTGATGCCCCTTTGTCATATCACCATCTTCTGTGGCCCACACTTGGGACCCTCTGAGGCAGCAGGCAGGGTGCATTTCGGCCTTCTCCTCGAGGGGTAGATGACCACTTAATCATTACAGCAGACCTGCTTTTGGAGTATGGCAGTGGCATTGAATAAGACCCAAGATCACCCATTCATTCAGCAGCCCATTGAATGCCCGGCACTGTTTGGCGCTGCTGTTCAAAGTCGAAAACCATGGTTTATACTTACAAGAAGCTTCCAGTCTAGTGGAATCTTAATACTTCAGGTCAGTCTGCTCAAGGGGCAGAGAGAGAGTCTTTTGGAAACTTACTGGAGAGATGGTGTCCAAAGCATTCATGAAGGCTGATGAGCACGCAGTGTGAATGTGGGATACATGAAATAGTCTCAAGGCTTGGAAACTTCATGGGAGAATTTTGCATTGAAGACCGAGAAGACCACCGAGCATGGCTCTGTGGCTCTCTCAGGGGCTCCCCACATTGCCCAGAAAAAGGCTCCTTGTCCTGCTGCTCACACTTCGCCGTGTGGGCATGAAGCCGGGTGCTGAAGACCAGGTGCCCCTCTGGGTGGGACCAGCACAGTGACTTCCCTCCCTCCCTCACGCCCTTCCTGTTTCTCTGCTTTCTTTGTTTCTCTCTCACCATCTCTCTCTCATTCCTCCTCCCTTCTGATCCTTTCTTTCCTATACAGTTAGAAAGTTTACTTTTGAACTACTTCTATTTGCTTATTTCTAATCAAGAGAAATTCTCTTCAGGCAAGAAAATGTGGTGATTGCAAACAGATAAAAATGTTGCATGCTGTCATTTTTTAGGGATGTAGTTGTTGCTTGGTGGCCAGTGTGGAAGTTTTGAGACTTGCACTGGCCTTGCATGGAGTTGACCAGTTACCTAAGGCGGTGAGTTAGATTGGGGATCTGGCTTGGAAGTGGTTTCGTACAGTTGCACCGCATTGCGGAAATGTAGGGAGTAGAGTAGGAGATAGATGAGAAGTGTAATCATCTGATGAAAAGTCTAAATCTGAAATCTTCACTACAGTTTCATTGTTTAGATTGTGGCTGCTTGGATTGAAGCTGTAAGTAACGGCTACTCAGTGAAATAATCCAGTTCTTTACAGGATGCAGTGTGGGGAGCAACGGGGGTTCTTGTTCACAGGGTGCTGCCTTCGTGGTCGTATGACTTCAGGCAGTTCGCTTACCTCACTGAACCTCATCTCAGAAGTGGGATGATAATAGAACCAATTTTTAGGATTCCTGTGAAAATTAAATACCGTCTGCGGGTATCCAGGCTAGGTCAGTGAGTCGTGTATTTTAGGCTCCCTCTGGCCAGATATGCCCACCAGATGTGCCAGCCAGATGTGGTGCTGGTTAGCATCAGAGAGGCTCCTTCCCCTCCCTGCGTCCTGCTAGGGACAGCCAGCTACAGTGTGAAACCCACCCTGACAGGCAAGGGTCCTTCGTGAACACTGTTTGCTGGTTCCTCGGGATGGGCACAGTCAGAGCACATTGCCGCTTTTTCTAGAATATGTCCTTAGAAAGCATTTCGAAAACATTATCTCTTCTTTCCAGAATATTTTACTCTCTCTCGCTTTAAAATGTGGTCCCCCGCCCTGCCTTTATCTGCAAGGGCAGCCTCTCCACCTCTTAGTCTGCACCGTTTGAGGAACTTCCAGGCCCCGGGCGTTAGACTGCAACCTTCAGATACTGGACAGGTGAAAAGAGTGCAAGAAGCTGCTTCATCTGCAGCATTGGGAGATCTTCCTATGGCAGTCTGATAATCGTATTGTTTCAAAGTAGATTAGAAAGCAATTTCCGCTGGCTTGCTAAACCTCAACTCAGATCACCATGGGTTGCTTAAGTGGACTTGGTGGTGTTGTGATAGCTGGCAGTTTTAGCATGAAGCACATAATCTTTGAACGATCAGTCATTTGGAGTTTGCTCAGAGGGTCGTGTTCTGTGCTGTGTTTTAACTGCTCCTCACCATCTTTGTGCAAGAGAGCATAAAATCGGTGGCCTGGAAGGAACGGCGAGCTGAAAATGATTCTGTGTATACCGCTTCCTTCCTCGTTTTGCAATCCCCACCTGAGAATACAGAATCAGACCACCCTTCCCATACACATACGCACTTCTCTCGCCTAACAGCACCCTGCTTCTGGCCGTGGTAATGTGTTCCGTTATTTCAGAGTTCCTTGGATCAAGTTATGAGGAGTGTTATCATGTGCATGTCCTTGTATATATGAGATAAACTCCTGTCTTTCCCTTCACTTTAACCTACATGATTCTTGTGGCAGTTTTGTGTCATGTTCGTAGTTATAGCCCTTGCTAACGCTCCGGACGGTAACATCATCTTGGTTTTCTTATTACTTGACATTTATGTAGTGTATTCTCAATATCATCCCTGAGTCTAAGATATGCGTAATCCTATAAAAAGACAAGGACATGAGACCAAATAACTTTAGGAAACTTTCAGTTTTATGATTCTATAAAGGCCTAAGAAATTGTGTGATGTGGATGCTTTTGAAATATAGGAAAGAAAGATGCAAAAGGATAAAAGAGAAGATAATAATAGAGGAGGGAGTTGGTGGAGTGACAGGGGGAGCACAGAAATATATAGCAAACATGGACCATTTAGGTGCAAAGAACAATTGATTAGTTAATTAATTAGACAGGGTCTCACTCTGTCACCCAGGCTAGAGGGCAGTGGTGCATTCATAAGCTCACTGCAGCCTCGAACTCCTGGGCTCAAAAGATCCTCTCGCCTCAGCCTCCCGAGTAGCTGGGACTGCAGGCGCGCACTACCGTGCTCGGCTAATTTTTTAATTTTTTGTAGAGACAGAGTTCTCACTATGTTGTTCAGGCTGGTCTTGAACTCTTGGCCTCAAGTGATCCTCCTGCCTTGGCCTCCCAAAGTGCTAGAATTACAGGTATATGCCACTGCACCTGGCCAAGAACAATTAGTTTAAATCCCACTTGGTGCCTCCAATTTAAGCATTGTTATATATGTATATAAAATGACGAGAATCATTTTAATCATTTGTTATTGTTGAACTTTTATCATGTATCCAGAGCTCTTGCATTTGTTTATATAAACGAGGTGGCCTGGAGGATAAGGGAACTGGGTGACAGGACAGGCTGGGGGTGAGGAAGGAGCATGGGCTTTGGGGTGGGGACCCAGGCTCTAATTCCAGCTTGACCACCTGCTAGATGTGACTTTGGGCAGGTCAGTTAACCTTTTGAGTCTCTTGTTTTCTTATCTGAAAAAGGGTTTAAATGAGAAAAAAAAAATGCCAAGTGTCTACCTTGGTGTCCAGTAAGCAAGAGGAGTTTATACTTTGTGAATAAGTGTTAGTTTCCCCTCCCTTCTCTTGAGTCTCTCCTATCCCAGCCAAGAACAGAGAATTAGGAACAAAAGCTTGAGTTTTAAAAACCACCGTGCTAAATAAAGGTGTATGGGTGAGGTGTTGATCCCAGAAAATTGTGATTAAAAGTGCATGTACCAGCCGACGAGTGGATAAGATCCAAGGAGTACTCTCAACTTGCTTACGTTATCAGCACCATGGGAAATTAGGTGAACTGTTTCTCTATTGGGCATGGCATTGTCTTTGGTGACTCCGAGGAATCTATATAAAGATTAATACTTTCTCCTTCCCACATGTGCTTCCTAATAGCCCCTCACAAATACTATATTGGATTTCGGTACGTCCATCCTTTAACAGAAGAAGCAATTGAAGAGATGGAGAGAGATGGCTTGGAAAGGGCTATCGCTTTCACGCAGTATCCGCAGTACAGCTGCTCTACCACAGGTAAAGGCGTCTCTTTGACAGCAGGAAGGAAGGCATGGCCCAGGCAGAAACAGCCAATGATAAGTTATTTGCGATTAGAATGGCAAATCTGTTTCCTTAAAGCACCTTTAAACATGAGAGTTCAGGTCAGTCCATTTGAAATCTCATGGTTCATCTGTCCCTTGAGTTATTGGCCATTCGGCTGGGAATTACAAATTGGTGGGTGGAAGGCAGTGGCTGGGAGCGTTCAGTACTTTAATGCCATCGTATAATGGATCAGTAATGAACCTTAAGCCACTCTCTAGGTTTGTATAATAAACCTTTTTATAGCTACCCCGATTTTCTTATTAATGGAGCAAAGGTGATAGCTGTTTCCATTTTGAAAGCAGAGATGCCCATATTACATGGGAAATACTGATGTATTTTTTGTTGTGCTTCAGTTGTGGATTGGTTGCTGGTAAAACTAAAGCCCAGTTTGGGATTCCCTTTGCAAACTCCTCTCAGGGTTCCTGATTTTGGAAAATGTTTGTACTTGTTGTTTCCTAAATATTTAAGTGGAGCTGGAGATGATCTGTGTTTGGCAATCTCTGTATCATTCATCGTAGGCAAAGCTTCTTCTGTCACCCACACATACATTTGTTTGAATTCTATTCCAAGGATTGAGGTCAGCATATTTTTACTCCCAAATTGCTTTGGGATATGAATGCATGTTATTTCTATAACTATATGAAGAAACAAAAGGTTACTGGAAGAAATATTCAGAGCTCATTTTGTGCCTTAAATATTTGTTCAGAGCACCTGTTAAAATGCCTGAGTTCTCAGACACTCTCAAGAGTTTGAATTGTCATTTCTTTGGGAAATGTACCACTACAACTTCAAAATATCTGGTAATGTATTATTGGAGAATGAGTCTGATCTTGTGAATTTTTAAGCTATACTTTTGCCTTGCCTTAAAAAATATACCTCAACATGTAAATATCTGCTCTCAAAATTAGATAAGTTGAGATTATTATTTATATGACACAGGATTGACTATGGTTTTCATTTCACAGTTGGCTCTAACAGTGTGTTCAAAGCTTCAGTGCATGCTCGGTTTTTCTCTAGTGTATCTCCTACATAAGGATAGGCACATCTTTACTCCCAAGCTGTGAAAGCCTTTGGGAAGCACGTTAATTCTTTGTGGCCACTAGAGTATCGTTTATCTGTCACGAGTTTTAGTCATGTACTTTTGTGGCAGAGCTGGTGTATTCTATTAATATCACCAGCAAATTTTTCAGTTATATTTTCCCCTTCTTAATGACTTCTGGTAGTTTATCAAATATTTCCAAGTGACCCAAAAGAGCTATTGTAGCATCCAGAAACCCTTTTGCAAATCTGAAAATGACATCCACCTGTGAAATGCAGTTTGCAGTGCGAATATGGCAGTGACTACTTTGTGATTTCTGGAGAGGCTGTTTTTGAACCTTGAATGGAGTCAGTTTGGATTCTTCTGGTTCACTATATTGTACTCGCCAAAGTTGAAACTGCTTATTTTTTTTGAAAGTTGAGTCTTAGCCTAAGAGTACATTTGATTTAAAATATGCCTCTGTCCTGACTAATATGTTAAATTGGAGAACTAGTTCTTGTAGTTCGAGAACCCCATGGATTGGCGGTGGGAAACGAGGAAATGTTTTAGGCCTTGCCCTGTGTTAAGGTTGAAGGAGAAGCCTCATGTTAGAATTGGTTTCATAGGATTAAGATTTGGCTTCCTTGCCAGCTCCTCTAGGCCAGGAAAAAGTTGTATTTGGTTGGCACCATCTGCCTTCCTTAGGCTTTGAATTTTCATGATTTCCATTGCTCAGTTAGAAATACAGGTTTTGTTAGACTACCTGTTAGGATTTGGTGTCCATTTAACTTATTCTGGGGTTGAGGATTGTTCTTGGAACCTTCATTAGGTTGTTTTCTTTTTCCCAAGGCCTTTGAAAGGGTTGTTATAAAGGTTTTATTGTAACATGGAAAATATTTATCTTATAACATTAGGTAAATATGCTCAAAATAGGAGGCAGAATTACATACTAAAATTACAACTTTGTAAAACAAAACAGCTCTAAAGAAAAATAACTGAGAAGAACCATGCTAGAATAGAACGATGACTATATTAGCATGCTGGGATAATTGCCGATTTCTTTTTTCCTTTCTTCCCCCTTCCCCTGTATTTTCTGCAACGAGGTTGATCATCTTCATAACTGGGAAAAAAATTTTAACAAACTTGGTCCCTGCAAATAATGACTGCTTATAATTCATAAATCCACAGCTATCTTTGAAATGGCCTCAATAATCTTTGAAAGTTCATTGAAATTGATTACTTTTCAGTGATCTTCATCTGCAGGGTCATTAAATCTATATGCATTTTAGAGTATTGAAATGATTGTAATTAGCCCAATTCAGTTGAGAAGCAGTTACTTGCTTTGAACTTATAATTACTGCCTTTACTAGTTTGTTTTTTAGTTTCACCGTAATTGAAATGCATCTACCAAGTGGCCCCTGTATATTTCAGGCAGCAGCTTAAATGCCATTTACAGATACTATAATGAAGTGGGACGGAAGCCCACAATGAGGTGGAGTACCATCGACAGGTGGCCCACACATCGCCTCCTCATCCAGGTAAGCCAGCGACTGCCAGCGTCTGGAGCAAATCAGGTTCTTGTCCCTGCTCGGTTTGTGGGTGTCTTTCTGAGCCTTGCCATTCTCCTGCTTAAATTGTGTGCTGGGGATTAAACAAAAAGTATTAGATTCTTGATTTATTATGAAAAGAGAAAATAAATGTAAAGATACTAAAGTAGTTAGACTCTTTTCTTTCTTCAGGTTAATGCTATTAGTCCCAAACCATAACACAGTGGTGTTTTCAGCTGTGTGTTTCTCAGTGACCAGAAGAACATTAAAGACTGCGTGTGGCGTTTCAGCTAACTGACATTAGCTTGAATGCCTGACCAGCAAATTAAATCCTCTGTCTTCTAAATCCTTTAAAATCAAAAGATTAAAAAATTTTAAAGATAATATATCTACATGTTCTGAGACGTGAAAATAAGTTTAACATTTCAGTTGAGAAAGTTTCATGTATTAAAGAAATTTCAACTTTATTCTATACAATTTCATATTTATAATATTTATATTAAGAGATGCTTGATTTTAGGAGAATCAGCTAAAACTACAGTTCCAAAGCCAATAGCTTTGAATTGGTGTTATTGTATTCTTTTCTATCAAATAGGAGAAGGCAATTGGTAAAATATTGCCCTAAATCATGCAAATATGGTTTTTTTTTTCCTGCTAGTAGGATTTTCTGCTTTTGAGTTATTTAAGGTAGGAGAACTATTGAGTGATTTAAATTTCATCTAGTTTATTTTTCATCCCTTGAACATTCTCTGACTTCTGGCAAAATATCCTTAAAAACATCTTTAAAAGCCTGGTGTCACTTAAAATGTATGGCCACTAGATGGTGCTAGACATCATTAAAATGAGGCGGCTCTCCCCAGGGCAGCCTGTATTCCTTAGGCATATAAAGGGTTAACACTTGGGTTGAAATCTTGTTTTAAGTAAAAAGTGAAAAGAAGGAGCCTAGCCTAGGGACGGGTGTGGCTGTGGTCCTTCGTTTGCTGTGCCGCTGGGCCCAGCCAGTACTGCCTCAAGCACCAGTGTCCCCTGACTGCTTTGCTCCTGGAGGCCTGTGATTGGAAACGAGGGGTGTTTCAGGTCAGCTCTGACATGTGGTAGCAGGGAACGGAGGGATCTGCACAGCATCTGCCTGCCCTGATCGAGTGAGTAATTAGATTTGCATTAAAATTCAGCCCTTTGAAAAGGGGGGAAGCAGAAAGATGGAAAGGTCTCCTAACTGAGGAAGTCTCTGTTCATAAAATGAAAGGGAGTTTTAGAGGCATTTATCTGCCCTCCTCGACGGTGTGATTGAAGGCTCTGAGAGCCCCATGCCTCTTTCATTCTGCAGAGGAGTCGTGCATAGCAAATACCACAGATGGGTTTTGGGTGATTTAAGGAGCACTTCTGCTTGCCCAGGGCCCCTCAGTTTTGAAGATGGCTTAGAGAGCGCTGCAAGCCATAACGAATTGGGCTCTTACTTGCAGTTTTGCAGGCCAAGAAAAGGAAAAACGCTAAACTCTGGATAAGATACACAGTTTTTGGAAACCAGAAAACAAAACTAAAACCCTAAACTAAACTAAAACTAAAAATGTAGTTAAAAACTAAATCCACGCTTCTACTTGTTATAGGTAATAATTACTCCGAATAGTCATTTTATGACTATCTTTCTAATATTGCTATTTAGTAATTAGACTAAATTCATGTTCTAAGCTTCTGTTTAGACTTTGCAGTGGGCCTCATTATCTAGACTGCTGCCCAAAAATAATCCTTTCTGAGCAGCCTTAGTTTCCAAACACTACAAAGATTAGAAAATATTGTTTTTGTTTGTATCTAATCCTATCACATTTACTCTATAGGTAAATTATAAATTCTGCAAATGGAACCTAACTCTAGCTACCATTTTCTTTACCAAATTTATTGCTTAAATAATACTTAATAATACTTAATTTAAAGAAGTAAGCTCACTTCTTGAAATAATACTTAATTTATTATTTACATTTATTTACCAAATTTTGAGAGTTCTGGAAAGATTAATATCTCAGTATTTATTAGTAAATAGTTTGCTCATCCTATAATATAAACTGACCACTGGTATATCAAAATACCAACAAGTGTAGATTCATGTGGTTCTGATAAATTGTCCTTTATAATTTTTTCAAACCTCTTTATCTGGAAATAATTTCAGACGTGGAAAAATTACAAGATTAAGGATAGCATAAGGAACTCTTCATCTTTACTTATGTTCATGTATTATTAACATTTATCTCAGTGTCATTATCATTTATATACTGTGTGTGTGTCTGTATATAAATGATTTTTTTTTTCTGAACCATTTGAGAATAAGTTATGTATGTATCATCACTGTCTACATCTAAATACTTGAGTGTGTGTTTCCTAAAATCAGGAATATTCTCTTAACATAACCACAATATAACATCCAACTTCAGTAAATTTAACATCGATACTTACTTTTATCTAATTTACATTCAAATTCCTATTTTGTCAGTTGACCCATTAGTGTCCTTCGTAGCATTTTCTATAAATTAAATGACAGAGAATGATGAAAGTGTAAGATGAAAGAAAGCCTCTTCAGATCTGGTATTTCAGCACCTTTCGAGGTGAATCAGAAAGTGCCAACTAGACGAAGGGGGTTCACTGGTCTGGCGGACAGAGGTTTGGAGGAGGAGGCGGGACCGCGCTCTAGCCCAGTTCCACAGATGTGACCGAATGGACCCCCACGTCCACCACATCTTCTCACCCTCTGTGAATTTAACGGGGGCTGTACAACCAGTCATCTGTTGTGAAGGGTGTTACTAAGATTGACACGGTGAGGATACCGGGCTCAGAAGAAAATGTCGTGAAAATAGAAGAGTATCTGCTTCTTTCTCTCCTGTTTCTGACTAACGTATTTTCATGTGATATGCCTGAATGCCAAACAAAGGGAGATTTAGAAAGATCCTGTAAGCTGTTTTCCTGCTAACGGAGCAAATGAGAGGTCTTAAAACAACTTCTTCCCATCTGTGTTTCCTTTCCATCTGGAAGTGTGCCCTGCGCTTCCCGAGGGGAAGCAGACCTGCAGCCTTCACTTGCAGGGAGCCATTAGCGAGCTTTAGATGTTTCCCATCAAATTCCCTAGGCCCCTGAATCCGTTATGATCCATTGTGATGATGAACCAAAGCAAAGAGACTGTACCGTTTGCAATTTTTTAAAAAAGGGAGTTCTGATTTTAGAGGGTTGCTCTGAGATTTGGGGTGTAGCTCTCATTTTTAAAATGCTTTCTTTTCCTTCCATTTCTTTCTTCCCACTTCCTCCTCACCCTCCTTTCCTGGTATGCGCACAGTGCTTTGCAGACCACATTCTAAAAGAACTGGACCATTTTCCACTTGAGAAGAGAAGCGAGGTGGTCATTCTGTTTTCTGCTCACTCGCTGCCAATGTCTGTAAGTAAGAACATTTTGTTGGATGACCTAGTGGTAGGGGATTGGGTTGTTTTGTTTTCTAAATGTGTAAAATGGATCCAGCTTCTGTTATGTCCTCAGCCCACTGCAAGATTGAATTCTAAAACCCCACTCGGTA